GAAGTAAAAACAAAAAGGATTTTTAGTAAATGATGTTTTAGTATGTATATTTCCAGCCTTCTATTAATAATAAACCACAAAAAAAGTGTAGTTTTATGTGTGAATATATTACCAGTCATATATCTCCCATGTCTTTTGACAAATATGATGGGAAAGCTGCTATTTCTCCCCTTACTCTGCATCTGTTTTGGCAAGAAATGCCGTTTTAGAAATCCTGTATGGAAATCTTCTAGCTTTAGGGCCCACGTGTTACAATTTAAAGAAGGCCTTGAAATCTGTGTGGAACTTTCCACCATCAATTAGTCGTGTGACTTGTGGTATTTCCATCGTGGGTGTGTCACAGCCGCACACGAGTGAACGTTCCAGGTGTGGGAGGAGTCGCTCTGACTTACCCCGTCTGGGCTGTCGCGGCATGTTCTGCGCTGTGATTCAGAAATCACTCCATTTATTTGTATTATTGAACTCAGAGCTCCGAGCTACGGATCAAATGTGTACCATCCTACTTACAGTGCCCCTCCATCTGAGGAGCAGCACTCGTCAAACCTAACCTGTCGCTTTCATTTCGCATGGCCGAGCGTCCACGGGTCCTGAACGGGAGCACTCTGGGCTTCTGGGAGTTCGCGTTTTCATTCCGTTGCCTGCCTGCTGGGCACAGCGTGCACCGTCCTGAGTGGCAGCGTGCCACCGTGGTGGGGGAGTCTCAGTACAATTAATCCTCACGGTGACGGACCCCTTGCAGTAACCAAATTTCGTTCCTGTTGGTCATTTTACAGAAAAAGATAAACTAATGCAAGAGGTATTGAATTCTTTTCTGAAAACTGTAGGCCATTCACTAAGTGGTGTGCACAACTAGATACGTCATCTGTAAAAAGTAACGTAGGTGCCCAGCTGGTGTGGCTCAGTGGTTGAGCATCGACCCATGTACCAAGAGGTTGCCAGTTTGATTCCTGGTCAAGCCACATGCCCAGGTTGTGGGCCTGATCCCCAGCGTGGGGCATGCAGGAGGTGGCCAATCCATGTTTCTCTCTCTCCCTCTCCATTCTTCTCTCTCTAAAATCAATAAAGAAAAAGAAAATTAAAGTAGGATCCTCACTCACATCATAAGCTAAAATAAATTCCAGGTGAGTCTAAGACTAAACATAGAAATAGTGTCCCCATGTACTGTGATTGGGAAGTCCCTTTTAAGTTATAAAGCAGATTTAAAAGATATAAAGGAAAATAATAAATCACAGACAAGAGAATAACTTTTTTAATGTAGGAAGGACTCCTACAATTGGCAAGAAAAACAACAACATTGTTAATAAGAAAACTAAAAATTAAAACAATGGCGAAATACCATTTGCACTTGTCAGAGGGATTAGGAAAGTAGAGATTGCTGGGCTTAGCCTCAAAGGCTCTGATTCCGTAGATCTGTGCAGGGGACTAAGAAGTCACGTATCTAACACGCTCCCGGTGGTACGAGGCTGTGGGGCTCGGGACCACACTTTAAGAATCGCTGCGTTAGAGAAATTGTGATTTACAAAGTTGGATTGATAATCTGGGGCCAGAACAATGAGTGGTGATTTGCTTTAATACTGTAGATCCATTAACTTCATGAGACTGGAAATATGAATGCTTAAGAGAATAATATATATGTGACCCTTTATTAAGTGTGTCTTCTTCGTCTCCTGCTTAATTAAAAGCAGAAAAACTAGTATACAGAAATTCATTATTAACCCATTTTTTTTAAGATTCTTTTTTAAAATGTTTTTTTCTGCCCTGGCCGGTTTGGCTCAGCGGTTAGAGCGTTGGCCTGCGGTCCGGAGAGACCCGGGTTCGGTTCCCGCTAGGGGCATGTACCTCGGTTGCAGTTTGTCCCCGGCCCTGGTTGGTCGTGCGGGTGGCAGCCACTCGATGTGTCCCTTTCACATCGATGTTTCTCTCTCTCTCTCCCTCCTGCTCTATCTGAACAAAGAATGAAAAAGTGTCCTCGGGTGAGGATAAAAAAAAAAAATGTTTTTTTCTTTATTGGTTTTAGAGAGAGGAAGGGAGAGGGAGAGGAGATAGACATCGATGAGAGAGAACATGGATTGGCTGCCTCCTGCACGCCCCCCACTGGGGATCGGGCCCACAACCTGGGCATGTGCCCTGACCGGGAATCGAACCAACAACCTCTTGGTGCAGGGTCAACGCTCAACCACTGAGCCACACCAGCTGGGCTATTAATTCATTTTTATACCAACTACATTAGTGTCATTTTGGTTTCAAAATTAAAATTTTTCAGAAAGTTGGTTTGAGTTGTTAAATCTATTTCAGTACAATGACGCCTCTGTTAGAGAAGAAGTTCATTGAAACTGGCTCACGGTTAACATCAGGCGGACTTTAAGGTTGTTCCCTCGCACTTCAGTCTCATGATCGGCATCCCAGAGGCCGCTGTTACCCTGCAGGTCATACCAGCTCATCAGAAGGCCTTTCTTCTGTCTGTACTTTTTTTTTTTAATCCTCAACCGAGGACATTTTTCCATTTTTTGTTCAGATAGAGCGGGAGGGAGAGAGAGGAAGAGAGAGAGAGAGAAACATCGATGTGAAGGGACACATCGAGTGGCTGCCACCCGCATGACCAACCAGGGCCGGGGACAAACTGCAACCGAGGTACCTGCCCTTAGCGGGAACCGAACCCGGGTCTCTCTGTACCGCAGGCCGACACTCCAACCACTGAGCCAAACCAGCCAGGGCAGAAGGCCTTTCTTCTGTTACAGTGTTGTGCAGTCTCTAAGAAGGACTTTTAGCTTCGAGAAAACTCGCAATGACTGTGCTGTGGTGCCCAGGAGAGGGCGGTCCAAAGACATTGATTCCTGGGACCTGGGCAAGGACCGTGGTCTGGGTCAGGTGGCGCCTCCACCAGCTCGGCCTCTCAGAGGCTGCTGACGAAGTCACGTGACTTCTCAACGTCTGCTGGGGCACATTCTGGTTCCCGGCCTCAGACCTCTGATTCGTGTGAAACTGATTGTCCTCAAGCACTGCCTTCCCTAGGCTGGCTGGTGGGAAAGGGAAGGTCCCTATGATCCGAGATGTAAAAAACAGTGCGGAGTACAAAGAAAGCTCTGGAAGTAGTCTCCATCAAAGTAGTCTCCATCAAAGTAGTCTCGGTCAACTCGATCAAAGTAGTCTCCATCAAAGTGTCTAGAATAAAGTAGTCTCCATCAAAGTAGTCTCCATCTAAGTAGTCTCCATCAAAGTAGTCTCGATCAAAATAGTCTTGATCAAAGTAGTCTAGAATAAAGTAGTCTAGAATAAAGTAGTCTCCATCAAAGTAGTCTCGATCAAAATAGTCTCGATCAAAGTAGTCTAGAATAAAGTAGTCTAGAATAAAGTAGTCTCCATCAAAGTAGTATCGATCAACTCGATCAAAGTAGTCTCTATCAAAGTGTCTAGAATAAAGTAGTCTCCATCAAAGTAGTCTCCATCAAAGTAGTCCACATTTATCTAAAGACAAATAGCCAAATGCAGTTCCCACCCTAGACTGGACCCTGTGTTCGACGAGCACATGTGACTGTAAAGGACATTATTAGGGTCAGTGGACAAAATTGAAATATGCAGGGGTGGGCAGAAGTAGGTTTACAACTGTAATACAAATAAATACAATAATACAATAAAACAAGAATGAACTGTTTTGTGTACTCACAACTGTAAACCTACTTTTTTTTTTTTAATCCTAACCTGAGGACAGTTTTCCATACTTTGTTCAGACAGAGTGGGAGGGAGAGAGAGGCAGGCAGAGAGAGAGAGAGAAACATTGCCGTGAAAGGGACACATCGAGTGGCTGCCACCCGCACGACCAACCAGGGCCGGGGACAAACTGCAACCGAGGTACATGCCCTTAGCGGGAACCGAACCTGGGTCTCTCTGGACCGTGGGCTGACACTCTAACCGATGAGCCAAACAGGCCAGGGCATAATTTTTTTTTTTTTTAATCCTCACCCGAGGATATTTTTGGATTCATCTTCAAACAGAGTGGGAGGGAAAAGGAAGGGGGAGAGAGAGAGAAAAACATTGATGTGAGAGAGACACACCGACTAGCTGCCACCCACACGACCAACCAGGGCCAGAGACAAACTGCAACTGAGGCACACGCCCTTAGCGGGAACCGAACCCGGGACTCTCTGGTCTGCGGGCCGACGCTCTAACCGCTGAGCCAAACCGGCCAGGGTGGAAGGACATCCTTTTACTGTTCCTCCTGGTCCATCCTGACAAGCGACAGCCCTGCATCAGCACCCGGTGATGAAAACAGCACGGTCAGCCCAGCTTCCGGATTGGGGGACCGCTGCACAGGGGTGTCCCGGCAGGGAGTGTGAGCTCAGGGCATCAGAATCCGCCCCCCATCTGACTCGGGACGGTAGGCGGGAGGGAGCGCTGGGGGGCCTCCAGGTTCCTCAGTAGCCCCCTCTCTGGAGGTCCTGGCAGGCGCTGTTTCGGAAAACCCGGCGGCGGGAAGTGCCGTCTGCGTTCCCTGCACCTGCTTTGTTCGGGTGAAATGTACTGCTGCTGCTGGGAGTCAGGGCCAGAGCTCCGCCACAGAGCGCCTGCTGCACAAAAGGCACTGAGCCGTCTACGCGAACATGAACTGGTGTGAACACCCTTGAAAACTGCCCTCTAGTCGGGGTGACTCGTGACAGGCTTCCTTTTCTCCCGCGGCAGCGCTGGTGATTATGCAAATGAGTCGAAGCCCATCTTCTAAAAGTTGGCGATTTTAACCTTAGAGCCTGAAATGGGGTCTTTTTTTCCAACACTGGATAAATAGTTAACCACGGAAAATGAGTATTTAAAGCAAGAAGCAGTCCAGGTAATAGGAAGCAAGAGCCAGCGTAATTTTTAATTGAACCCCATTTATTACAGAGTTACGCGTCCACTTTTTTAGTTTGTCCAGGTTGATGTAGACACTGAGCAGAGAGGAAGTGTAATCTGCCATACGAAAACGCTCGATGTGTGGCTGTTAATGGACTCGAAGTTTCTTGTGGCAGATGGAGACGGGCACGTGGACCACCTGCTCCCGGGCTGTGAGGATGACAGCTGCCAGAGGAGCGCCATCTACTTAGCGAGACATGGAGCAAAGCAGGTGCGTGGGCGCCACCTCACCGCGGGGAAGCGCGTTCTCGTCTTCTTTTCAAATGGATTGTTCCTCTCTAGAGAGAGAGGAAGGGAGAGGGAGGGAGAGAGAGAGAAACATCGATGAGAGAGAACGTTGACTGGCCGCCTCCTGCACGCCCCCCACTGGGGATCAGGCCCACAACCTGGGCATGTGCCCTGACCGGGAATCGAACCGGCGACCTCTTGGAGCAGGGTTGACGCTCAGCCACTGAGTTACTCTGGCTGGGCCTAGAACCACATTCTTGAAAAACAATCTGTAGAAGTTAGAAAAGATAAGCTGAAGAATCGGAACAGAGAGAAACCAAAAATAAATTATTGACTTCCTCACTTAATGAAATGCATTTCAGTCCATTTTTTATTGGTTTATTGAGGGAAAAGTGCTGTTATAGTACTTTCTGGTGAAGAAACCCGTCTTGATTCTGTAATTAAATGATCTTTTAGCATTTTATGTGCTGGGGAAAAGGTGAAGCACACCGTAACTCTAACAAGGGAGGACATCATCTGCCTTCCAGGCTAATCTGCTTCCTGTCTGTGGTACCGGGATCGATTTCATTCTCTCCCGATGCCTCCTCCCCAGCCTGCAGGAGGACCGCGTAGAAGCCAGTAGTCACAGCCGAGTAATGCGGGGATGGCAGCTCGTGACGCTGGGAGCTGCTCCGTGCGGTCAGCACCTGACAAGAAGCCAGTCCTTGAGTGGAAGCGATCCGCTTTCTTTTCTACTTGGGGATAAAAAGCATAGAAGAACATATTGACTTTATAGCCCTTATAAGTAGAAACATTACATTTTATACTAAGACACTAAAGAAAACAAGTCTTTATACAGTCAGCATTCTAAAAACGTTTAACTATTGCACTCATAAGTTTTATTATCTTGAACTTTTTTTTTTAAGGTAGAATCACCGAAGATATTAGGTCAAATAACACCTCATCATTGACTCATAGGTATAAGTAAACCTATAATAATAGCTTGTCTTCAAGTTACAGACAGCCTACTGTAAGAATATTTTCAAATTATACAGTCCTCCCTCTCTCTGTCTCTGGCAAGACAAATGTCACAATTATTTGATGACTGTGAAGGATGTCACATTAATGGGAAGACTTTCTACTGTTCAGACCCTAATGCATCTATCTTAACAGGAATACTTCATCCTCATTAATAAACTGGCAGCCTCTTCAGAAATTTGTAATAACTTGGCATTTTATCAAATTTTCCATCTTCCAAAACAAAACCAATTTTTTTTTCAGTCAAATCAAACATTAAAATATTTTGATGATATGTAATACTTTTGTGCTTTACAAAAGATTTAAAAAGTGATTAAAGATGCAGACAAGTTTTTTAAACAGCGTGTTTCCTATAAACGGACCTGTAAGTCTCTCTCCTGTCCCCCGGCAAATCGTGCTTTCTTGGGGTGATCCGGAGACCGTCCCGCCGCGCCGTGCGCTGCGGCCTTTGCAGGAAGCCATTTGTAATGTAGTTCGCCCTTGTAGAAAGAACCTCTGGGGGCGTGTTCGGCCCCCTGCCATTTCGAGCCCGCTGTGCCTGCTGCTGCCTGGGCGCCCCCAGGTCCGTGCCAGGGTCCCTGCTCTTGGCTCACTGTGGGCACGTCTCTCGTTCCAACGGCATCTTTCCCGTTTTCGATCTCTAGTGTGTGTCAGGGTGCGAAAGCTCATTTCGAAATCAGCCCATTCTCTCTGTTCCGTTCACTATAATTAGTATAGAAATAAAGAATTCACTGCGATTGGAGCTTCCGGCCCTTTCAGTGACACAGCTCGTCCTCCCGGGCTGGCCTGTCGGCTCGGAACACGATGACTCGGGTCCTCGTCGTGTGAGCCGCACAGCCGGAGAACAGGTGTCAGATGGAACGCGCTGGTCCTCGCGAAGGGGCGTCCGTCTGAACACAGCAGTCTGCTCTAGTTTTAAATATTTATTTGAGGTACATGTCCAGTCAACACAGATTTTAAGATGGGCAATTCAACAATGTAACTATGAACGACACTTTAATCCTAAGCTTCTGTGATTCTGTGAAAAGCCTAAGGCTCGATGTGACTAGTGATACATTGTAAAGAGAACTTTTCCCCAGAGTATCAGCTACCTACTCACCAAGTCGATTCTAATTCCGTACCACAGTGTAGACTTGAAGAACTTAAGTATGATGTTCATCTTGCGGACTTGTAATGGATCACTTGTTTTGCAAATGGTGAATTTTTTTTGTAAAATCTCACTTTCTCCTCCCATTCCTAGTGGGTTCCAGTCTTACAGGATTTCAGCAACAAGGGTACCCTCTGGGGCTTCGTGCCATTTGTGCGTGAACAGCGGCCAGCGGAAATACCAGTTCCAATAACCCTGCACATTGGAGACTACAACATGGACGGCTACCCGGACGCCCTCGCCGTGCTGAGGAACACCTCCGGCAGGTACGGAAATGGGGTCAGGTGGAGTGCTCGTGAAGTAGCGTCACTGCGACACTTGTAACTGAAGCACCTACATGTGGTACAGCCCTTAACTAGCAAACAGGACAAGCTCAGATCCTATTTCTTTTTTTTTTTTAATTTCTTTTATTGATTTTAGAGAGAGAGGAAGGGAGCCCTGGCCGGTTTGGCTCAGCGGTTAGAGCGTCGGCCTGCGGTCCGGAGAGACCCGGGTTCGGTTCCCGCTAAGGGCATGTACCTCGGTTGCAGTTTGTCCCCGGCCCTGGTTGGTCGTGCAGGTGACGGCCACTCGATGTTTCACGTCGATGTTTCCCTCTCTCTCTCTTCCTCTTTCTCCCTCCCACTCTGTCTGTACAAAAAATGGAAAAATGTCCTCGGATGAGGATTAAAAAAAAAAAAAAAAAAAGGAGAGAGAGGAAGGGAGAGGAAGAGGGAGAGAGAAACATCGATGAGAGAGAATATCGACTGGCCGCCTCCTGCACGCCCCCCACTGGGGATCAGGCCCACAACCTGGGCATCTGCCCTGACCGGGAATCAAACTGGCGACCTCTTGGTGCAGGGTCCATGCTCAACCACTGAGCCACACTGGCCGGGCCAGATCCTATTTCTTTATGTATGTAGTCCCCGAACTTCTCTCCATATCTTCAACAGCTCCATCGTTACCATGACTACCCTAACCTGGGAGTCACATTTTATTAGTGATGTTCGCTGTACGTTGCATTATCACAGGTGCGCCATTACGTGGCGTTGTAAAGTCATGATTATTTCCAGAGCTCAGAATTCTACCTCACCTCCCAGGAAGGGTTGGAAGGAGCCTGGGATGATGAGGGTGAATGTTCAATGGGGTCACGGGGTCACTCAAGGCCAAGAAAGACCTGACAAGGGAGAAGTTTTTCATGACATAGAAGCACTAATTAATTGTGTTAGTTAATTATCTAAATGTTTTGTCCTCTGTTCGATAAAGGGTTTAATAGGTGATTGTGTATACATTCTTGGTTTAATCTTGTTTTAATGCATTTTCATTGATGGGATAATGCCCTTTCTTTAAGGTACATAATTACCTTAACTCAGCATGTTGTCACACTTTCCCCGAGAAGATAAAATTGAAATTTAAATGTGGTTAGTTCTTTTGCCTCACAGGTATTCAAGTACATAGAACTTCTTACCTTTAATGAAATAATGAATATTTCCTAGAAATTGGCTTTAGAATATGGTGTAAACACAAAATGTGGCTGGGGACAGGACAAAGGTGTATTCCTTGATTGAATTCCATTGATATCCCCAACTGTAAATGAATGTGACTGACATTTAGCTAAAAATAACCCACACGGATGACTCGGCGTCCGGAGGGGTCACCGTGGTAGGACAGACATCCCTTCACTCGTGCTCGGGGCTCTGGAGTTCTTCTGAAAGAGCCACCTCCGTGGGGAGTGACCGCCGGACTCGGAGAAGGGGAGGCGCCACATTTGGCTGCTGTTCACACAGAGAAATTACTCCTCTGGTGTGGGTGACAGGTCTCTCCCGTCCGCTGTAAGAGCGTGTCTCTCACACTTCTGGGTGGTGGTCTGGGGATTTCAGTTGTATCTGTTGTCTCCTGAGCACACTCCACCGTGGAAGCCTGAGCTGTTGGCTTTTCTTCCTGCCTGTCTGCCCTCGGCCTTCCGCTCAGATCCCGCAGCCGCCTGGGCTCGGGGGTACCCCCAGGCCTTCCCCTCACCTGTCCCGAGCCACACTGGGCTCTGCCCGCCTGGGCTCGGGGGTACCCCCAGGCCTTCCCTCACCTGTCCCCTGAGCCACACTGGGGTCTGCCCGCCTGGGCTCGGGGGTACCCCCAGGCCTTCCCTCACCTGTCCCCTGAGCCACACTGGGCTCTGCCCGCCTGGGCTCGGGGGTACCCCCAGGCCTTCCCCTCACCTGTCCCCTGAGCCACACTGGGGTCTGCCCGCCTGGGCTCGGGGGTACCCCCAGGCCTTCCCCTCACCTGTCCCCTGAGCCACACTGGGCTCTGCCCGCCTGGGCTCGGGGGTACCCCCAGGCCTTCCCCTCACCTGTCCCCTGAGCCACACTGGGGTCTGCCCGCCTGGGCTCGGGGGTACCCCCAGGCCTTCCCCTCACCTGTCCCCTGAGCCACACTGGGGTCTGCCCGCCTGGGCTCGGGGGTACCCCCAGGCCTTCCCCTCACCTGTCCCCTGAGCCACACTGGGGTCTGCCCGCCTGGGCTCGGGGGGTACCCCCAGGCCTTCCCCTCACCTGTCCCCTGAGCCACACTGGGGTCTGCCCGCCTGGGCTCGGGGGTACCCCCAGGCCTTCCCTCACCTGTCCCCTGAGCCACACTGGGGTCTGCCCGCCTGGGCTCGGGGGTACCCCCAGGCCTTCCCTCACCTGTCCCCTGAGCCACACTGGGGTCTGCCCGCCTGGGCTCGGGGGGTACCCCCAGGCCTTCCCCTCACCTGTCCCCTGAGCACACTGGGGTCTGCCCGCCTGGGCTCGGAGGTACCCCCAGGCCTTCCCCTCACCTGTCCCCTGAGCCACTCTGGGCTCTGCCCGCCTGGGCTCGGGGGTACCCCCAGGCCTTCCCTCACCTGTCCCCTGAGCCACACTGGGCTCTGCCCGCCTGGGCTCGGGGGTACCCCCAGGCCTTCCCTCACCTGTCCCCTGAGCCACACTGGGCTCTGCCCGCCTGGGCTCGGGGGTACCCCCAGGCCTTCCCTCACCTGTCCCCTAGCCACACTGGGCTCTGCCCGCCTGGGTTCGGGGGTACCCCCAGGCCTTCCCCTCACCTGTCCCCTGAGCCACACTGGGGTCTGCCCGCCTGGGCTCGGGGGTACCCCCAGGCCTTCCCCTCACCTGTCCCCTGAGCCACACTGGGGTCTGCCCGCCTGGGCTCGGGGGTACCCCCAGGCCTTCCCCTCACCTGCCCCCTGAGCCACACTGGGGTCTGCCCGCCTGCTCAAGCGCACCTTAGGACCCAGCCTACGGAACTCCCCCCTCTCAGTCCGACTCTTCCTGTGATCTCCCCGCGGACTGCCAAGGCGCCGTCCTGGTCCTGGCCAGGTCCTGTCGGCCGAGGGAAGTGCAGTTGCCTCTGACACCGCCCCCCCAGCAGGTGCCGCCTTTCACCGTGTGCTCCGAGCTTCTCTGGTCCTTTCTCCCGCCACCCCGCTCACGCACTTGCTCCTGGCCCTGAGCTGTCCCCCGTTCCTCGTGGATGTCTCTTCTCTATTTGACGTCCTTCCATCTCAACGGCACCTGTCTCTTCTGTGTATAGGATTCCTGCCCTCGCCCTGCCTTAGGAATCTTACTCCCCCTCTTCCCCGAGATGTATGTAAATACCGTGCGCGAGCCTCCCCACCCTGGAAGCACGTTTCTGTGCCTCTGGACAGCTGTCTACTGTGTTACCCCCAATCCACCTGACCCTGCCCCCGCCCGGCCCCCGCCCGGCCTCTGCCCACACTGCCCGCTGCGGCTCAGTGCCCGGACTTCCACCGACAGGCTCCATGGGCGGCCCTCGTCCGCAGGTGCCAGCTTCCTGCCCACCTTCGGGGGTTGGTGGCTTACTCCAACTCCTCTGGCTCCCCTGTGGCCTCTCTGGCTTCCTGTGCCCTGCCCTGAGGACCCCTTCCCCGTGACCGTGTCAACGTCGCTGTTTCTGGGGGCTCCATCTCAGGCCTCTGCTCTCACTCGGAGTGTCCGCCCTCCACTGTGGCCGTTTTCGTCACCACTGGCAAGCCTGGGACTTCTACTCCCTGTACGGGGCCTCACGCCTGTGTCACTGCCCGGTGGACTCAACTATCGCACCCCAAACCTGTCCTTCATGGGCGCCAGGCGCTGCCACCCTCAGCCCGTCTCTCAAACACCCACGTGGGTGGGGCCGCGCTCCCCGGGCATGGCCTGCGCGGTCGGGCGCTGTGTCCTGCTTCCTCCCTCAGCGGGTCCTGCGCACCGCTAACCACAAGCAGACACGGGGACCATTATGTCTCATTGTACATAATAGAAACACAGATGTTACAAAACCTTGACAGTAGACGTCGTGCCCAAGTTCACCATGTAAAGAACACCTGTGAGTGGAGGTGAAGGACGCATGACAAAGGCCCCGACCCTGGCTGGGAACTTCTGGCGCGGTCACTGAGCGGCCTGTGCACTGCCTCGCCCGCGGCCGCTCCTCCTGCCACCCGCAGCACCGCGGGCTGTCCCGATGCGGCGCTGTCGGGCTCCGGAGCCGCGGAGCCCCTGGAGCGTCCTCATGGTCAGCGAGCGGCCTTACCGACGCGTGTCGGTGCTCACATTTCCGAGTGCGTTTATCCGGTCACCCAGTGCCCCACGCCACCGCCATCAGGGATTTCTGCGAAGTAGGGTTCTTTATGTTCACAGTTGTCCCTCCCACTTCGCACTTCACCCTCCATAACCGCGACAGAGTGAAGCCCGAGAGTCGAAGTGCCAAGTGGCGGGTCGACTGTGTCTGCTTAGCCCAGCATCTGGGAGCAGAGGTTTCAGAGCAGCGACTCCAAAATATCACTTGACTTTGGAAGAATTCCTAACGGACTTACTTTTCTTCTTAATTCGCTTTTCTTCTGTGTGTAAAGGAACTGCCTTTCTTGGGGTTTATGCAGAAAGACAGAAGAGAGCTTCCTTCCGCGCGAGCCCAGACTGAGGATGAGGCTGGGGTCGGGGAAGAGCGCTGAGGGCCAGCTCCGCGCGCACAGGGCCAGCTCCCACGCACGGCCAGCTCCCCGCACAGGGCCAGCTCAGCTCCGCGCAGGGCCAGCTCCGTGTGCACGGCCAGCTCCGCGCGCACAGGGCCAGCTCAGCTCCGCACAGAGCCAGCTCCGTGTGCACGGCCAGCTCCCCGCACAGGGCCAGCTCAGCTCCGCGCAGGGCCAGCTCCGTGTGCACGGCCAGCTCCCCGCACAGGGCCAGCTCCCCGCACAGAGCCAGCTCAGCTCCGCGCAGGGCCAGCTCCCCGCACACGGCCAGCTCAGCTCCGC